CGTCACGGTCGTGGCTTTCGAATGACATTATCTATTCCTTTAATTATCTTGAAAGCAATCTTCGTTCTCCGTTTCTGTAGATATCCTCGCTATAGGCCAACTGCACCATTGACGGAGAATGTAAAATACGTTTGAAAACGGAAGGCTTTTGGCCTTAGCTTCTTGGCTTTTTCATTCAGAGCATCATCCCCTGTCATCTACTCTTGTAGGTTCAAGGATTAAGATGCCGAGTTGCCAGGTTAAATTTGCTTTGCTGACTAAAACCTTTCAGTAAAAAGGAAACCTTGGATACCGGTTTATTGGTGGACTCGTTGCATCGACTTTCCGATAAAACCGATGGGGATAATTATCTTTTTTATCAGTCCGAAAATTATCGGTAACATCCCTAAATGGAATCATGTCCTCCATTGGAATTTTTACCTTTTTCAACGCAGGGTATAAGTGCCTCCCTTTCCCAGCACACTTCCACTCCTGTAGACCCACATAGTCTGGCTTCATATTTTCTAGAAACCATGAGTAAACCTGTGGAACCAAACTGAAGCAATTAGTCCTGAACCCAAATGAACCTAGTAGACTTTCTTTTTCATTCTCACACCAAACCCAATTAGTAGATTAAGCAAAATCTAGGTTTCTTCAGCGACTTTGCGACGTGCCACTCACCTCTCCTACGATGAAGTATCTCGTTACGGAGCTGGGGAAGAAATTCTGAGGAAATCATCGCACGTTTGATGTGATTATGAAACCTCCGACCTCGTGGCAGGTCTTCGATTCTGCCACACGAGAACGGCTTTCCCCCGACGAAACCTACACAAGATTTAAGAAGTGTCCCCACCGTATACCTCCACCCCCTTTGGAAGCGAAAAGAGTTAGACTTTAAATACACGAGTGGACTCGGCAGCCACCGATACGAGCGCGAGATCGTCTCCGCACTTCGGATATCGACAAGCAAGTTCGACTTCGATCTCATCTTACCGCCCGGTCTCCCGCTGGGCAATCCTCGACCGTGGATGGGGATTCTATTTCACCCACCCAATAGTTCAAACGTGGTTCCATCCAACCATCACCTCTTCCAGAAATGAAAAATGTTTTGCATGGGGTGAGATGTTAAGTCAGAGAATGCCCTTGCCTCAGCTGTAAACCAGTAGGTAAAATTAAAAGTTAAAGTCATGGAATTATTTTCTTTCTGGAATTAAGAAACCGATGAAGCGATGGAGCAAGTACGCGTTGGTTGAGGGTGATTATGTCGAAGCGGTGGAATCGGAGTGTGACTAAATTTCACCCTACGAGTGATGTATTTGACCCTGCAGAACTTTTCGGCCCGCCTCCCTCGTTAGGGGTGCAGACATGTCATGCAAATAACATACAGTAAAACCTCTGATAGCTTATAATGCCATAGCTAATAAACTCCTGTACCTTATCGCAGGGTTTGGCCCCAAGCATATAAACCGAGGCAGGTTTTACTGTATATGTAAATAGCATATCTTAGGAAAGTACTCTTGGTCTCCTTTGACTTAGTGTACTATGCATGTCTCTTGCACGAGTTTCAGTTTCAGATCGAGAAAAAAAGGAAAGGGTTCGTCCCTTCCGCTGCTTCTCCCACACTCAGTTTTTCTTAGATTTTATTTTTATGTAGAATCAAATTGCTTTCATGCCTTCATCACAAAATGATGAATGCCGAAAATTTGGACCCCCTTTAACCCTTTACACCCAGGAGAATGGGCAAAGGCACATGTCATGTATACATACACGTGCACTTGTGCCTGCCTGTCAAAAAGTAATAAACAAAATTTCACGAAATTGCTCTTTAATCTTCCTATATTTTCATGACACCTTGTGGCTACCGTGGCCGGATCGGGACACGAGGCCGCACCTCAAGGCGTGCCGAAAATTCGGGGTCATTATGACAATCCAGATTTCACTAGGACACGGACAAGTGTGAATTATGACTTCACTGAGTAGCAAACACTAAAGAAATATTCATAAATGTACGATTAATGGTGGCGTGTAGGCCAAACAGTTGACGTGGGTTCGTCCGCACTGCTATAGTCATCTTAGTGGATGGCATATTCTAATTCTAGGTCTAACGCGTAGGTTGTGGAATTATTATGGTCTACGTGAGTGGAGCGCCGATTCTGTACCCATCGACCAGGAAATATGTCTCCCGCCGCCTGAGCCGGACAGGAAGAGGAAAGAATGTACCAGGGTTGCCACAAGATGTTGAGCTTCTTACATTAAGGAAAGGCAGACGTAAATGCATTTTATAAATTTGAAAATAAATATCTAAATACATGCCAGTACGAAATATATTCGAGCTTGAGCATCCAAACGGCTGAGAAAAGCAGCTAAAAGCTGGAAAGACAGCATGCAACATTGCTCATCATGTCCTCCACCATGTGCGACACGTGGTTTTACGAGTCCTCGCCTTGTCGCATGTTTTCGCCGCGTGTTTAAGAATCGTGCCATAAAATACACTTTGGTGTGGGCTTGAGGTGTAATTCGCGTTGAGACTCACCAAATCCAGCTTAAAATCAAAATATGGCGTTATGGGCGAAGGCACAACGACTCCAAGGGGATGCTCTGAGACAAGTCCTTTCTATGTACGGCCCTCACTTCCCGCTCGAAGTCCGGCATTATCTGGCTGATTGGCTTGAGGCAAGAACATGGTAAGGCTTCTATTTATGTTACAAAGGCGCTAGCCTCGGTGTCGTTAGTGATTCTTCAATGATTCTTGGGGACCAAGCCTTGAGCCCAGGATAGGCTAGGGTCAGGCCTAACTTTAGGTCCTGTAAATACGAAACTAGGTAGACCAGAAGGCAGAGAGTAACCAAAGTTCCCTACAAATATGTGGGCTTTCCTGCATTAAAATGAAATTAGCATCATCATAGTAATACAAAGTTTCTGTTACTAAACCACTGTCGATCATAAACACAACCAAGTATGGGAAAATTTGGAACTTGACTTGAAGGATTTGATGATGCAGTACTTGATTTGCATTTGACAGGACTGAGTTAGAGCCAGAAAATCCAGAGCATGAACTCCAGGCAACCAAACTGGTGACTTCGCTTATTGAAGAGCTAGAGAAAAAGGTGGCACTTCTAAAAACCCCAGAGCAATTCCTGATAATCATGAAGCTCCGTGAAGCTCTTGATACCATCAAGGTAAATTCTGAATCCCTGAATAGCATGAGGTAGTTTTGTCTTGGTCATCTGTCCAGGCCACTCCTTTGGTTATATGCACCAGACCTAATTTTACAGTCAGTGGATATCTTTCATTTCAGAAAACTTATCAGAACAACCCCTGTGCTTTGATCAAGATTGTTCGTCAAACATTGGCAACAGAGCTGAAGCTGGTCCAGGAGGCTGAAATGGTGCGTGAGAAAATGATTACCTATTACTTCTCTGTATAATCTACATTGGCCTGGTACATATGTATCTCTTTATGTATTCTATGCTATGAAGACTAAAATGTCCAAGTTATGCTCAATCTTTGATCATTTATACAGAGCAATCCTAATGGGAGCTGTTCAGGAGAAACCCCACTGACTGTTATCCATGCAGAACTCATGCATAAGTTAGAGGAAATACGAGAGAAGACAAATGCTACATATGAAGAGGTCCATCAGCTGGCTCAGGTGCAAGAAAGCCTTGCTCTCATTATCAATGAGCTTGCCACTCTTGATGGTTAGTTCATTTCTCTCTAAATGCCAAATTTTGATTGCTAACATTCAATGCAATGAATTCATTACTTGTAACAATAGCCACAATTCAGTCTGTCTCAAGTCAACCTGAGACCCCGCAAACCCAGGAAGTAAAGCAGAGACTTCTGCAGCACAAGGAATCCATCAACCAGCAGATAACAATCACGGTATGAATTTTAATTAAATTTGTATCAGTTCTAAATCTTCAGTTATTAATTTGTACATAGGGGGTTATTCAATTTCTTCTTACCAAAGGTTTCTAAGTGATTAGAACTTCTTAATCATTTTCAATGACAAAATTTGTTTGACTAACATGACTTATCCCAACACATGTTGCTGTGGAATAATGAGGACAAAGTGCCACATTTAGAGGTGTCAATCTTATCACTCTTGGACAAACATGTGAGAAACTTGATCCCCTCTGGGATTATCAGTCAGATCGATGTCATAATTTATGTTTTTTGTAAATATAAAATTCCCCAATATATTGATCCTGAATTCCAAATGTCTAACCTTTGACTTTACTTGCAGGCAAAAAAATTGGTTTAGGCTTGAGATCCTATGTTAATTTTAGTCGCTATGTTTTTTTTTCCTAGTTGAAAAAGCTGTTGGAACTGAGACTCAACCTTGTGGAACAGTATAAGGAAACTGTGAGCGGGATAGCAGCTCTACAGTCTCGGATCCTGGAGGAGGAGCTGGCCAAGTGGAAGAGGAATGTCCAGCTAGCTGGCAATGGAGCACCTTTTCTCACCCATCTAGATACAATCCAAGAATGGTCTGTACCAGCCTTTCCTCTCTTCATCAGACCAGTATTAGAATGAAGTATAAAAACTGTAAACCATAAAAAAAATTGAGGCTCTTTAATTTCGAAGGTGTGAAAATCTCGTGGAGGTCATTTGGTTGAACCGGCATCAGATGAGAGAGCTTGAACACCTGAGGGCACGACTCCCTGTCAAGCTCCCAAATTCCCTCTCTGATTCTCTTCCCACCCTTATTTCCAAAGTCACTGAGCTCTTGCACCTCCTTGTTGCCAAGTGAGCTTTTCCTTCTCATCATGTTGATACCAACTATCTATTCAGTCAGCTTTCAAGGTGCTGCACTCTTCCAAATTGCAGTACATTTGTCGTGTGTGAACAACCACCTCAGGTGATGAAGACAAATATCCGATTCTCAGCCTCAGTTCGTCATCTGGTTGGAGGAAAGCTCAATATCCACATGGCTGCTCCCAAGGTAACTGGTATTAATTGTTGGATTGTTCATAATTCAAGGCAAAAGCCCAGTGACACATGAACCTAAAGCATCAAACCTAAAAGTTGAATTTTTTAAATGAAGGTGCGAGTGGACATAGTGAACGAGAACCAGGCCAGAAAGCTTCACCAGCTTGCAATGGTGCAGTGGCAGGAGTTCAGTGGGGAGATCCTCAATAATGAGGGGACTTTGGAATATCACCAGGCATCAAAGCATCTCTCTGTTTCTTTCAGGTCAGTTCCCACTAGGGGAAGTGAGACCAATTCTGACCACATTAAGCTTAAAATCTGTTTCTTCAACTATGTTTTGAAACTAATGATTTTGGGATCTATACCATTTGAGAGGAAGCTGCACTCATTCCTATTAGTATTTTGAGATTGGACATTTTTGTGATTTGATTGAAAAAGGCAGATTGGATTTATTGCTATATTCAATTATGTGATGTAGGAAGCAGACATTATGGCAGGGTCAGAATTTGTCTCACTTATTCTATGTAACCCTTTCTATCCATTCATAGTCAAATTTCTGCAAGCTTAGTTTTTATGCACTTCAGGAACATGCAGCTGAGGCGAATAAAGCGTTCTGAGAAGGACAAGAAGGCAGCAGACTCCATCAAAGATGAGAAATTTGCCTTGCTTTTTCAGACTACATTCACATTGGGTGATGAAAAGCTCTTCTTTCCTGTGAGTACCTCTGGTCCTTTTCTTCAATGTGTTTTATGCTCTCTGTTCCTTTTATTTCCAAATATCTGCTCCTAAAAGCTCAGGAAGCCTTATCAATAGCATGAAAATTTGTTTATGCTTTTGTGCAATTCATGTATCAATGGTTAAACTTGTTTTATATATTTGACATGGTTATCTTCTTGATATTGGAGACCCTTCCTAATTTATGTCATGAACAAGAATTTATGTTGAGATGCTGATCTGCTTACTTCACCGGAATTTCATCCCATTGATGTCTTATGAATTTCATGCAACATATGCAGGATAATTTTGAGTTATACCTATTAAAACAGGATGTGATTGCTGGACTAGAGTACATTGTGAAGGTTTCACGATGTCACAAGAATATCTGCTTTAGTTGCATCTTTGGTTTTCTGGAATTTTTACTTGGTTTATTTGATTAGAAAAAGTTAGTTTTTATGGTATAGTGATGTATATTTACATATCTAAGACTTCCCTGGTAAAATAACTTTAGTTTGTTAATGATTTTCTTCAGTAATCTTTGCCTAATTTTCCCCCAGTTTTCAGACCTTAACAGGTTAAAACATGGTCAGTGTTTGATTCTTTGTGTCTCTTGGGCTTCAAGTGACTGGTAATTACATTACTGCTACAAACGTTTTTTGTTCAATTCTTTATTAGTTTAATTGCATTTTGATGCAGAAAGAGCTGGTGAAAATATGTTTGTCTGATAAAAGTAAATATCTATGAGTGCATTCAAAAAGTTCTGATTCCTAATTTTTTGTCTGGAAAACTACTTCCAAACTTCCAAATTTTTCAGCATTGGCTCATTTTTTGGAATAGCTCCCTTACTTTTCACCTCCTAAATTGCCTTATTTACCTTCACTTTCTGGAAGTAGCAGAAAGTTTTCATTTGGGTGTTTGGATAATCATGGAAAATATACAGGGTGTCCATAAAGTAACTTTACCTAACGATTTTTTTTCTTGTCACAAACTGAAATTTTATGCTGACATGGTCTTAAAGAGGACCAATTTCTTCATCCTGGAACACTAATAATATTAATTTTTCTCCATCCCTGGTACCTGAAAAACTAATATTTTGACAACTGCTGAAAATGCTCAGTTTCTCGCAGAGCATTTCCTCATTCTCCTGAAGGTCAACCTTTGCTTTGGTTGGTCTTGACTGACCCTGTCTCCTGAAACTTCCTGACAAGATCATGAATGGCTGGGTGAGAAGGCCCTCTGGATGAGGACATATTGCAATGGCATTTGAACTTCTTTTGTGTTTCTGCTCATAGGCAGCGATTTGTTGAGAAATTTGGGAGGCTTGAGCTCCTATGAATCGCTGCCTATGTTTCTGCCACAGAATTTGACTCAAAATACCACTTGATGATCTTTACTCTTTGCAAGAAATTTAGCTTTTCCAGCAGTTATCGAAATATTATTTTTTCACATTCCTGGAATGGAGAAAAATGAATATTATTAGTGTTTCAGGATGAAGAAATTGGTACAGTTGAGAAACAGTTGAGTGCTTAATAGGCTGACTAGAATATATTTTCCCACACAAGTTTGTGGAGAAATAGGTGCCATTGGAGGCATATTGGATAACTTTTCTAGCATCTACCAGTTTATTGTGAATGTCCAATGCTTTCTTCCTGTTTATGGCATAAATTAGATCCTTTATTTTTATTTGCCAAACAGCCATTTTCATCTAGCATCTGGATCAAAGAACTCAGCATCAATTAATTTGTAAATTTTTGCAAATGCTTTCTTTCTGGGAGAACTTTTGCACAAATATTTTCTTTCTACCATGAGTGTCTGACCATTTTTCCTACATGTTGCAGGTGTTCACACTGTCCCTGCCTGTAGTTGTGGTGGTTCATGTAAACCAAGAAGCAGGAGCTTGGGCAACTGTATCATGGCACAATGCTTTCTCTTCTCCTAAACTTCCCCCTTGGGCTATGCCAAGTCAGGTTCCCTGGCCACAGGTGGCTGAAATGCTCTCCATGCGCTTCCACTATGGCCTTGCCACTCACAATCACTCATTGGACCATTCTCAGCTCCATTTCCTTGCCTCCAAGCTCTTCAGGTCTCAACCACATTATTTTTTAAAGGGTCAAAATGAAAAATTTTTAAAAACCTTTTTAAGTAGTGAAGTTTTCAGGCTTGGACCAGGACAATTGTACTGGTTTCTAATATTCATTGATTCACAATAGTTTTTAAGGGAAGTTTGAGGAAGAAGTTTCACTCTTTGGCCCTTGGACTGCATATGGGTATTTAATATAGAAAACAAGAAAACTTAAGGAAATTTCATGAAAACATGTTTCATCCTGTCATTATTCTAATTCATGTATGCAGATGCACCTTGTGGGGACAAGGCCTGCTTTTGTAGAGATACCGTATTTACTCATTTTTTGGGCATTTTTTAGCATATTTTATTGTGTTCAAAGAGGGGTGTATATGACAAAAGGATGAACATGAAGTTGTGAAATTTTTCAAAACAAGAATTTGTTTTTTTCCAGACTGAGGAATGTTTATTGCTCCCCTGAGGAGCTGAGACTCAACTTCCAAAGCAAAGTCAAATCAACATTCATTTGACAGCACAAGAAGGAGCTAATTCCTGCACCAATAGAATATTTCACAAAGACATATGCATATTCACCCTTTGTCAGATCATTGATGACACAAACAAGATCCTCGGGTGATCATTTCTTCACATTTTAAGTCTCATCTACTTGCCAGAAGGATTCTTTCTCTTACCTAGTGCCTCCTCTAAGTATTGACTTGCAAGCCATGCAAATGCATTTTTTTAAACTCTTTCTAGTAATGCTTATTTTATGATACTGCAGGACTAAGATGGATGACTACAATTCAGTTATGGTGCAGTGGAGTCATTTCTGCAAGGACCCATTGCCAAATCGCAACTTCACCTTCTGGGAGTGGTTCTATGCAGTTGCTCGCCTCACCCGGGAGCATCTTAAGGAACCTTGGGTTGATGGGTTTGTTCCCTTCCATTCTTGGCATATCATCTTTATTTTTAAGTTTTTTCTTTTTTTTACTGGGTATACACTTCACTCCATGTAACCCACCTGCATGCATAACAACTTGCCATACATTTAAGAACTGCAAATTGTGCATTTACAGGCCCTTTAACCCAGTGCTGACTTGCGATATGCAGCATTTGTGATTTGTCAGTGGAGATAGAGAAGACCAGCCTTATCCATCTCCACCAATGAGCCACTGCTTTAACCTTCTGCTTATCACAAAAGTTTTGTACAATGACATTTCTGTCATTCTAGCTTGGCAGAACTTCTATGGGCCAGAGAGATGATAGTTACTCAGTTTAAAGACTGGTTGAATACTGGCACCCTCTCCCAGGAACACACCTGACACCAGACAAGCAAAATTGCCTTTCTAAAGTAATGCCAAATGAATCACATTGGTTATGCATGAATCACACCATTTTCAAATGATTCAATTTTATTAAATGCATAAAAGTCCATGTCTAACTTTATCGAAATTATTTTTTGAACCTAATTAATTTACTTAATTTACTTGAACAAATAGGTGTATACTCTACATGGGTTTAGAGTTGTACTTGGAACTTCTCAGTTTCTGCAGAAGATTAATAAATTTTATGATCCCTGTTAGAGATTACATGTGATGGTGAATTGAAACCATATATCCCAAAGCAAGTCTTGGAAGTCAGTCATTGTGAAGTCAGCATGGTTCATTTCCTTCTTATTCTGTTATTCTCACCTACATTTTTATATCTCTTCATTTGTTATTTTTTAAATCTCTTTGCATGGTTTTCTTTTGCATTTTTTTTGTTGGAAAAGGAGGATCCTGGGTTTGATAGGACGAGCTGAGACAGAGGAGCTCCTTCTCCCATGCCCTCATGGTACTTTCCTCCTCCGCTTCTCAGATTCTGAGTTGGGAGGCGTCACTGTTGCATGGGTTGCCGAGGATCCAATGTCTGGTATGACCATTTCTCACTGCACTTTTTAAATTCTTTCATCTTTTGGTAATGTTTTTCTACTACTTGGCTGAGTTACTTCTATCAGAACTTGTGCATTTGCTTTTCATTATAGTCTTGATTTTTTTTATATGCTCAGCCAAGCGAGAGGTGTTTATGCTTCAGCCCTTCACGGGAAAGGACTTCACGATCCGCAGTCTTGCTGATCGTATCTCGGATCTGAAGTACTTGATGTACCTCTTTCCTCACATCCCCAAGGATGAGGCTTTTTCCAAGTACTACACCCTGGATGAACCTAATGTAGCCTCTTCAAATGGATATGTGAAGCCCAACCTTGTCACCCAGGTTCCAGGGTATGCAAAACACTCTTATGCAGCATTTTATAACATTTCCAGAAATGAGAAAGAACTCGGTCTTGCTAATGCGGTCCTACCAACTGGGAATTAAATTACTTTCAGTATGAAAAGGAACCAGATGCCAAAGGCTATCAAATTGGTGTGTAATCTTTCTATGAAAGACACATCAAGGTTTGAGAGATAAAGTCAGAGACAGGATGCAAACCAAACTGAGTGCAACCTGTTGTTGTTTGTAACAGCCTATCTGAGCCTTGGGTAGGCTTCTTTGATGAATGTATTACCCACAAATTCCAAATTATGTGTGAAAATTGTTGACAATGATCATATTGTTTATAATCAGACTTTAACCCTTTCAGACCTGCATTAAGGCCACTATCAGAATAATGTACTATTTTGCATTTTTGAGCTCTTTTCCTATTCTACCTTAACTGTATATGTCCTATATATCGTTTTCATACTTTGTATAAATCTACCATATCATGCCATATATTATATACATGTAATTACTGAAGTTTACAAAACTTACAGGTGAGAGAATGCCTCTGATGGAATTGAGCCGTGCATAATTGTGCCCATTGTAGTGTAATATAGTGTGCAACATCACAAGAATCCCTAGAAATTGCTATAGACACAATGAAATTGCAATGTCCATTGGAATGATCTGAAAGGGTTAAAGTGAGAAAGCTTTTCCCCCAAGCTGAATAGCTAAATCCTAGCACCAACCAATTCCAGGTCTTAATATCAGCTTGTTTCTGTAACTTTTCAGAAGAGATTCATCCCCAAGCATACTGGTACAAAAATAAGATTTTCTAGGATTATCTTTTGAACTTTCAGCTTCACTCCTTTGATATTATTGATGTCAGGTGTGAGGAGGGCAGAAAGTGATTGGAAATGAATAGATAGAGGAGGAAAAATTGGTCCAGATGGGTGAACAAAGTTTTGAACTCAGGCAGATCTTATTTGCCAAACTGACTGATCAGATTCATCAAAAGCAGCAAGTTTGGGAGGAGTAGGAGCTAGCCAATCAGGGTCCTGAAGGATTAAATAATTCACAGCATCTAAAGGCCAGGCTAATCTAAGTTTGTTTCAATTTTCTCCAGATCTGAAATCAATATTTTGACTTCTCAAGCATAACCTCCCTATAAATCCTAATAGATTTTATAACTCAAACTCTCAATTTCAATTAAGTTGGAGGTCAAATGACAAAGCAAAGCTCTTCCTGGATCTGAATACAGCTGTTTACTGACAACTGAAATGAGCAATATGTTCAAATTTGAAATCCTAAAATGACCAACTCAGGGAACTCCTGGAGAAACCTCAATAGTGTATTCATTGAGTAATGGTTTGATTCAAATACCTACATGCATCACTCATATCAATGTGCCATGAAATAGAAATCCCAGAGTAGGAATATATGAGAGGAACCCCACAATTGAGTCGAAGGCAATTTGATTGCAGGCACTCACTTTTCAAACTTGTAGAGCAAGGAAACACTGAACTTGAGGATTTCCCTACTCATCCTATCTCTAACTTTCAGATATAGTTACTGGAATAATTTTGTGAATTGACTGTTTTCATAGATGGACAGAGCTGAGCACAAGTCAGTCGAGTGATTCTGTGCCAACCACTCCTCAGCCCACTTACACTGCATCACCTAGGTAAGTGAATCTAACTGCAAATGTAGTAGTGTGGCTGCCTTGACTCAAACATACTTACTGTGTTCACCTTGGAAGCATCCTCATTAGTTTGCTCATTTCAATTAGTTTGTCCAATCATGGACTTACCTTATATCATTTCTGCTCAAGATGTCATGAGAGATTTCATGTAAAGAATTGGGTCAGTTCCTTATGGACTTGGGACAAACCGTCTCTTCCCTATCAGCCTTTTTTCTTGGGAAGCACTCAGGCCTTGTAACAGAAAATTGGAATTCCATCATTCCATAATTAAATTGTGATCTGAGAAAGAACCATAAAGGTGGAGGAAGCAGAAATCTGTTTACCCTGGGAAACAAACAATGCTTTAGTCCTCTGACCAGTCAACATCTTTAAATGTTATTCTCAAGAACAAGTAACAACAGAACTGTAAACTTTAATTGACTTTGATATCTTACAGGTTGGCAAGTGGATATGAGTTTTCAGTGGTGGACCTGAAGGATGTCCTCATGGCCGACCTGGACCTGAGTCTTGATGTTGTCCCAGACATCTCCAAACCCTCATAGTCTCTGATGCTTCTCCTCCTGATATTGTGATATCTCAGAATATCTTTCCTTTTGATGTATTTGTTGCTTTCACTTAACTTATAAGAGCCAATGAAAGTTTTTAATATGGCATTACCTAAACATCCCAGTTTTTTTATTGACTTCTTATATTTCCATCTTGTTTGAGTCCTGTTCAGAGGATATTTCCTTATATTGTTATAAAGAAACTTGCCATACAGCTACAGGTATTAGTACCATGTTTGCTGGACATAAGATGTGGGAACCTCTTAAAATCCACCATAAATAAGTACAGCTTCTATTGTGAAGACATTGTCAAAACACAACTTGAGATGAATTTTTTATGCCTTCATCAGCTCTACTGGTGTAGAATGTAGCTTTGTAGCTCTGTCTTGTTTCTTTTGAATGGAGCCTGGAAACCACATGCTTGTGTAACCATTGAGTGCTCTGCTCATGTGGATTTTCTCTAACTAGATGCCTGAAAGCTCTTGTGTGCATAGACTTGCACTATCTTGCACCATGTGGTGGTCATGTGGTTCCTGGGGCTTTGAGATCATCCATGAGAGCCAGGAAAACATTCAATTTATATGTAACTGTGCAGTGTAGTTATAAGAACTGTATGCCCTTCAAGCTGCCTGCACTGCTGCATTGCACTGGCTGTCCAGTCCAAGACAAAGCAGTATGTTATATTTTCTCACTAGTTTTCATATCTGTGAAATATCACCAGCTCTGATTTTTGGTGCCTTCATTTAACCCATTGGCATTTTAGTTATGCCCAAATTTATACCCCAAAATGGCAATTATTTTCAGAAAACAATTTTTTCATTTTTTAATTAAAATATAAAAACAAAACACCCTTGTTGAATTACTCACAGTATATAGGAATGCTTCTCCTCATCCCTTTCCCCATCTTGTTGCATCTAGTAGTTGACAAGTGAGAGAGTGTAAGCTGGCTTATTAGCTTCATTTTTCCACTGCCACTCACATTTTTGTCTTTTGGCTGGAGGTGGGTCACTGTCACTACTTATGGGTTCAGACAGTGAATAATCATTACCATTATTGCTAAATAAATCTATATCACTATTTTCACTCCCACTTTCACACAAAGTCTACAATATCATTATATTTTATTTTTTTTGCTGCTGCACGTTTCCTTGATGCTGCCATCTTGGCCTGCCAGATGAACTTTCATGGTCAAAGATTTTCCCTTACTTCCCTAATTTCCCTCTGAATTCAAGGTAAGGAATTATTGTCTTATTTCAGAAGTCTAACAAATGCAGCAAATGCCATTTATGAGGGACACTTAACTCTATGTACAGAAGACTAACTTGAAGTTCAGCTATGGAACTGTTCAGTAGGTCTACACTTTGTCCAGTCACTGATACTAGGGAACTTTTTCTATCATACTATGCCAATGAGTTAAGAATATCTCGGGTGAAGAAAGATGATGTTAACCAGGTTATTGTAAAAAGGGAAAGATACAAAGCCCCTGTCGAAGGCATGGCCATTCCTGGAATATTTGTGACACATGGTACAATTGATCCTTGATGGGAAAAGTGTACCAGCTCAGAATATTATGCATCATTTTTGCATGCAACTCAATGTAAGGCCTCTAAAATGGTTACTGACTTGGGTGACTTGACACAAAAACCTCTGTAAATGTGGTCAGCTTGGTATTGATAATTGTGCTGATCCCTAGTATTTGGGGATGAGGGAAGACCAAAAACCCTCAGTTCAGCCAAAGAGTCACTTCAAATAAAAGAGAACCAATGGAGTTCAGATAGAAATCTAGGGGGTGGACAAAATAAAAACCATTTCATGCATTAGTTGCCCATGAGGTAATTGTGCATTGTGCTATTGGTAAAGCAGTCAGCAAATTTGTTTATTCTGTGTCATAAACATACATGTATAGGGAGTTTAAAAAGTGAATAACTATAACCAATTTTATGTTTGGATAGCATGCATTAACCTAAAAATGAAGAATTTTAGGAAAAAAGGTTTGAAACAAAATAAGAATGCTCATACATTATATTCAGACATGATTGTGGCACTTTTTAGGAAGTCTCCTTGTTTTGTAGAAGATATGAGACTTATTGTGCTATTGCCACAATTTATATTTGTCCATTGTGCAGCAGGTGAGCAGAAAGCCTTCACTTATGTGGGACTACTACTGCTTTGGACTTCACCAAATTTTTACAGCAGCTGACAGAATGTCATTAGCTTTGGTTATGCATTTGGTTTTGGATATTCTTACCCCAATTTTTAAGATTACCAGCTCTCAGAGGAGGGATTGAGTGAACAGTTGTGCCCCCTCATATCAACTACCACCATCTCCACACATTGTCTTCTCTCCAGGAATTGCACTTTTCATGCCTTGTGCATATTATATGCATTTTGGTACATACCCCCAAAGAGTGGCTACCAAGAGGTTTGGACTTTCTTCAGCCTGCCCAAAGTGCAGGATTGATTGCCTTTGAGAATATCATACCATTACTTAAAGGTGAATAAATTGTACCCAGAGGATATAAAATATTGGATTTCCAGATAGCCAGGTAGAACAGTGAAGGATACTGAATGCATCATGTAGAACAGGTCATCATAGGTGCTTCAAAGTATAACTTGTATATTTGCCTATATCAATTCATAGCACATCTTTCCCAGATCTGATACAGTGAAGGATGAGGCCAGGTGTGAAGCCACTGGCCAACCTGTTGCAGATAGGAAGACAGAACTCCCAAGCCTTATGGAATTGGTTGATGCGAGTACCACGACTAGATGAGCGGAAGATTGACCCCGTCCAGCGCTTGCTGCTTGATGACAAGTGTATTGTTGTTGATCACAAGGACTTTGTGATTGGTACCAAGACAAAGCGAGACTGTCATTACTTGGGGAACAATAGCATAACTCCATTGCATCGGGCTTTCAGTGTTTTCCTCTTCAATTCAAAGAATGAACTCTTACTCCAGCAGAGGTCCATGTGCAAAGTCACCTTCCCTGGTAAATACAGCAACACCTGCTGCAGTCACCCATCTTATGTCTACAGTGAATTAGAGGAAAAGAATGCCTTGGGTAAGTCAAGCTCATCTTCAAGTTTTGAATTGGTAATGGGATACTCTGCCTCTCAGGTTTCTGTTCCATGATTTAGACAACGGATCTTATTAGATCTAAGACAATCCTTTTAGCTTAGAAAAGAAGTTCTATTAGAAATGGAGACATTCTCAATTTGTGTTGCACTAATCCAAAGAATTCCTTGGATGTACACTTTGTGTCCTTGTTACATTTTATTCCATTCTATTGAGTGGAGAAAAAGTTCAAGTGAAATAACTCAAATAATTAGCTGTGTCACTGGATCATGGCAGGGGTGAAGCGAGCAGCACAGCACCGGCTGCAGTATGAGCTGGGCATTTCTCCCAAGGAGCTGACTCTGGATGACCTCTTTTACCTGACCCGATTCCACTATTTTGCTGCCTCTAACGACCACTGGGCCGAACACGAGATCGATTACGTCTTCATTGCCCGCAAGGACGTCACGCTTCACATCAACCCGAACGAGGTCCAGGACTATCGATATGTCTCTAAAGAGGGGATGGAGGAGTTCCTTGAGAATTGTGAATCGCGAGACATCTCCTTGACGCCCTGGTTCCACATGATCCTGCAGCGGCATCTCTTTGACTGGTGGGAGAACTTGAATGACCTGAGTTCCTTTGTTGAGCATGATCGCATACAGGAGTTGAACTTTCACACCATGATTGCTGATGGTAAGACATAGGATCTTGGGGAGAGCTGTCTGTTAAGCAAGACCATGCTATCATATGGATGCACCAATTCAGTATTTGCACGTATACTGTACTAACATTTAGATATACCAATTGGAAAAACTTTAGAGGACTCTTTCCAATTGCCCACAATTGGGCATAAGTGCCATGAATGGGTTATTGTGTAGTTTACTCAGGTGAAACAGATGGGAAACTGTGATTCCAACAAACAAAGCCAAGTGACAACTTGCCTGTGGTTAGAAGAGTCTAGATCAGGTGCAATAAGAAATGCCTTTGTCTGGAAGGGACTGTCCAGATTTAGGAATGTTAGGAAAACAAGACATTTTCCAATGTTACCTCTTAATTGCGTTTGTAATGGCCTAGTAGAACTGTACTTTGTTATGAATTGGGACCCACATGCTTCCCAAGAACATACCAAAAGCGGTATGTGGAATAGAGAAAGAAAACCACAAATTACTTTTATTCCTACTGAATAGACAAAGACAATGAAGAGCAAATACACTGGCAAGGATAGGCTAGGGCAGAATATAGAACCTTGAATGTAAATTGATCAAAAGACTATGATAAGGTTTCTTGGACCTTGATAAAAGTTCATCAAGCTCTCAGCTTGAGGTCTTCTTGGACCGATTATTTTGCCAGTTTTCAAGTGTTTCATGAATAGTCCATTATTAATGCTCACATCTCCTCAAAGTTTTCTGATTGGTATATCTAGATCTACATTGGAGGGAGAATCCTTATCAGTGGAACACTAAAGTCCGTTATTCCTCTCAATGTGGATGAAACATTCAGACATATCAAATTTTAGTTAGGTTTTCTCTGGACATTTAATGTAGTGACATAAAATAGGAATGATTTTTGTTTATTTATGTGTATTGTGGAACATAGTTTGTGATATTTGCTTGCAGTCATGCTGGAATTTTGCCTACATCTTTATATGTACAAAGTTTCATTTTAGGCCATGATCAATCACTGTTTCCTCTTGGTAAATGTATTGCATACATTTATCATGAGGTGATAGAGAAGTTTGCAACCTCCCCCTTGTTTCTGTTTCATTGTGAAGCCTGCCTGAAAATTATTCTGATTTCATAAGAGTAGAGTCTCTTCTGAGTTGAAGTGTATCAGATTTGGCACCCATTCACAATGCTGCAATGGATATGTAGTGGAGATCCAAGCCAGAGGTGATGTATTTTTCTGTTTCTCTTCTGCCTTTCTCAATGATTCCAATGCCAGAAATAGAAACCTTTGCTTCTTGTTCAAAAGTTTGAAATCTTGCCCACTGGTGCATACATTCATTCTTGGATGCAGTTTATGCAAAGTGGAATTCATATGTTGTTTTTTTAAATTTTTTTTTAAACAGCAATACATAAATCTCAAGTCAGTTCTCTAATTTAGCTAGGATGAAACATATGATTCACATAGAAACTCATTAGCACATCTCAGATGAGTCTACTATATTTGGCTCCCCTTTCTAGTAACTACCTCCCATTCACATGACCAATTGGGTTTGGGTTTGTATATGGTGCAGAAAAACCTTAAAGTATCTTCAATCTCTATGGATTCATGGACAGCTTACACACTTAATATTGACTCAATACTAGCACAGAAGGACCACAATAAGTTCATGGATGCTAACCCATACAGAAAGATCGTATGTGGTAGTTATATGCAATTATCTGTGCCTTATAAAGTCATATATTTTTCATGTATTGAAATATAAACACATATATAAGGGCATATGTCGTTGAAGCATATGATCCATATAAGGATTATTCATTTATTAAACGTACCTGGGCAGCATACATATTCTATATAAAATAATTCTGTGGTTTGAGGGATGGGCTCCTGCATATATTATGTATCTGGTTTAAGTATATGATTTTTATGAAGGACTTTTATTTATTGTACACACATGTCCAGTGTGCACACTTTCATAACAAAATATTTTGCTGGAAATATCAGGTGGCCCAAAAAAAAAAGGTATAGTGTACCATAAGAGTTATTGACTGGAAATTTACTGGCTGTTGCATGCCATGTTTGCAGGTAATGTAACAAAAGTTTTGTTGAAATTGGAGGTAAACTACTCAAGGAGCAATTTTGATCCAGCTTGATATCAATAGAGCAAGTGTGCAAAGAAACACACCTGACCTCAATGAAAGAAATGTTTGATGGGTCCTTCATAGATGTGTCCTCCAACGATTGCCCACCGAGGCAGCATGTCGCCAAATGTGCTGATGCACTTGCTCATTTGACTATTTGTACGGATAGAGCTCTTACTTGGGTTCAGAGCAGGGAATTTCATTGATATTTTCCTGAAACCACCTATATATATTGGGTATGACACACTGAAAATTTCAAGATGCTTAGTATGGGGCCCCTTCTGCAGACACAAAAATCTGGACTTTTTTGGGCTACCTGGTATATATCCCATATGCATAAGGTACAGTTGTACCCACACAGCATGGTGACATCCCAGGAATGTCCCAAGGTCTTTATGGGATATTCTAAGGACATCTTCAGTCGAAGGGTGAAGCACAACCCTTTAAATATAAAGGGTTGTTCTGAATGGTTCCTTCTGTATGTCAGGAAATGAGTCTGTTTCAGAGGGAAGGCATCCAGGTATTTGATATTGCTGAGAAGCCCGAAGTAGTAATCTCTGGGACTATTCACTTGTCTCAAGGAGATATCTTTGGGATGTACTTGTGATGAGTTGAAAGTGAATGGTTTTTGTATCTTCACAAAAGTGACTAATTCCAATTCTCAGCTTAGTTCCTGAATTTTTTTTTACATTTGGGAGAGACTTGTGAGAGTAACATGATTTCATGTATGTTTCATACCTGATTTGGTCATGTCTCTTATCAGGTGTGAGAGATATGCCCCACTATGTGCTATACCCTCAGGCTCTTCAAAGTCTGTCAGATTTCAAAATGCACCCACATTTTTTCCAAAAAGCCTAAATAAGCCACTTTCAGAACTCACTTCATATCTGGCTCCTTCATTGTCCTTGGAAATGATCCATGAGATTTCTGAGAGATTCACAGGTGAGTTTGGAATGATTGTAGCACATGCTGATGCTTTTAGATTGCCTCAGTAATCCTTTCCCGTTCTCTCAAATCGTTCTCATTTTTTTCCCCTCCCTTTTTCTTTATTTTGAATTCTTTAATAAGAAGTCAGATTTGTCACTCTCTCCATCTCTACTCTGGACATCTAAGTGCTGCCCATTTTCAAATTCAATACCCATACACTAATAAGTTGCATCCCTACCATCAGAGGGTTGTATAAGTGGTGGTAGGGCAGCAAAAGACTGGGTGTTTCAATCATATTAAAATATGCTCCAGTCTTCAGAGTCCAAGTTTTATGTCTCCAGGCAGGAGTAAGACAATGTAGATGCCTGCATGCATGTCAAATACTCCTCAAATGAGATAGAGTGTATGCAGACTTTTATGCTTAAAAAAAATATTAGATCCAACTGAATAAGAAAACACAGAACTTCTGGAATGAAAAACTGCAAAAAGGGAAATCCTGCATTCTACAGAACATGAAGTTTCAGCAATCACATTAAAAATGGATTGGAAGCAGAAGTTTGCTATATTTCATTACAGCAAAAAAAATGCATAATAGGCAAAAGCCTCATATCACACACATGATTCCTGGTATACAACATGAACATGCGAATGAAGACAAAAATCACAGATCAATAGAGGATGATACATGATAGGTTGGATCCTATAAAGTGTGGATCCTACCCAAATTCCTCAGGTTGTGGAAACATCTAATACTCCTTTCCAGAGGAAAAAATTGCTGTGTTTTTGAGCTGATGGTCCATCTGAAGAAAGATTTTTTTATAACAGGATATCTGAAGCAGGCTACCTGGGACTAGTATCAGTGCGTAAGAGGCCTTTCTCCTTGAGTCTTCCTATGTGAATGCGCAGATAGGATAGATACTCAAGCATGGAGGAAGAAAGTGCCTGGTCAACCAGTTTCCCTGGGATCCAGCCTTTGAGGTCAGTGGCCAAGGCCCAAGAGAACACAGCTCCTGGTTCCCCACCTTCAGATGCTGTCAAGCTCATCACACTCAACAGTATCTCTCCTCTGTCAACATGAGAAAAAATGCAGACATGAATAAGAGCAGCTGTACAAGAAAAGAAGTTAGATGACGAAAAGCCAGAAACAATATAGACCCTAGCATTATTACCTAGGATTCAAGGATGTAACCAAGACTGGTAAAGAACTCACCAGAAAGTGGAATGAAAAAATAATTTTCAAATAAGAAGGTTCAAGGACACAATTGGCAGTTAAATGTTTCCTGTGCCATCAAAACCTGTCTTATGGTACCCATATGGGCAGTAACACATGACCTAACAAGATCAATAAGGGTATGTACGATATTTTCTTTCAATTATTAACAAAAATGTTCTATGGCAGATGTAATGTATGTAATTTTGTACAAACCATTGTTAGCTTCAAGCTGCAAGTCTTGATATTTTCATTCACACAATGAGAACCATTAAGACATTAACAGGTCATTATGAGCATACTTATCCTGTTATTTTGCATAACTGTGATCTTAAATATGGAAAGTTGATCCAAGTTTCCACATGATCTAATTAAAACATTACTTTCAATTCATATGCAAGCTGAAAATCATGATGTTACTGTTGAATTGGTATACATTTTCTCTATGGACTAGCCATTTCTTCTCCCTATCTTCTCATAGTGACATTATCATTTAGAAGAAAATGGGATATCAGGCTGCCCTTGTGATAAGATTCATTTCATTGATCAGCCTTCTCAGTCAGTTTTGTTCCTCACCTTTGTTTCCTTTCTTTTTGACTGATTCTTTGCTGGGGCTAATAGCAAAATAACTGACAAAATCAGTTATAGCTATTGCATACCAATGCCACCTTTATCAAGCAGTAATGGCATACAGTTATTATGTAAGAGCTAACCCAATTTCTGTGCAGATTGAAGACCATTTTATCAATTAAGAAGAGGCTAAACATGTAATGGGAAAGATGAAATTGTATAAAATTGACTGAAAATAACATCAATTCTATCAGATGGTTTTTCAAGGGAGTCCCATGATGAAGTAGAATTTAATCAAGGTGGCTTGCTTTCATGTATGTCATCAAATCCGTCCCAGAGATAGTGAAAAATTCAGAAACATGTTTTTTACTAGTCTCCCAAGTAAAGCCTACAGTCTACAAGAGAACAATATATTAAAACTGGACAATAGGTTACATTTAAAAAAAACTATTACATGACCTGTTATCAATTACCCTTAATAAATCACATTTTCCCCCATTTTTGACCATTGGAGTGTGATCAACCCTGTTTTTTCTCAATTCAGCAAGAATTGAATTCTTATAAGGAACAGTTTTAATAAGCATGGAATCCACTTCATCCATATGAAAACAGAGGCAGGAAATTCAGTAATACTAATATTTTTTTAAATAAGCAGGCTGAATTAAGTACCCAAAGTGAAAAAGGACACTCAAATACCATCTATAATTTTTCTTACATGGAACAGTGAGACATGACTGGTCATGCAGATCAAGATGGCATGACAGAACACTAGTCAAGCCATACTGTACTATGTTCATGGCAGATTGCCTTCATAATTACCAAAAAGGGGGCAATAAGGGTTTTTCCCCAATGACCTTACCTACACAGTCCTATTTCAGGTCAGAGAAGGAAAAACAACAGTATTATTCAGTAAAGACCAAGACTGAATTAAATTTCGAGATCCTGCTTGCATGGTCAAAAAGAAATGGATTGCAATGTGCTTGTGCAATGAGAGTTCAAACAAATCTGATTTCAATCAAGTCAATCGAGACATAGTTTCAAATCTAATGATAGCAGGCATTGAAAACTGCATGCAGATTGTCCCATTTCTCCAAAATGACACTCATCAAGCAGCAGTGTTAATACCTGACAAAATTGGGGAGAGGAGGCATTTGAGGATGAGAAACAGAGGAGGAGGCAATGACATATGACCCTTCCTTCACTGCCCACCGGCGCAACGTCACGAAGTCCCTTGTCTTGATCAGTCCTGCCCCCCCATCTGATGCTACATGGTGACCAATGTCCGTGAACTCATCCACTATCTGGGATCACATAATATTTCACATCGGGTATTTTCTATAACAATTTCTCCAACACTTTCAAAATTAGGGGTCTCACCTCCACAACATGGCATGACCGGACACTGAGATTCCACTTGGGGATCTCCTCTGAATTGTAAAACAACTCTTCACAAATCTTGCGTGGAGAAGCATTTATCCACCCCTGTGAAAGTAATGATTAATTACTTTGATTAATAATGATTAATTAATTCAGTATCAGGATAACTGATGGGCACTAAGCAGAAAATGAAACATTAGGAAAATATTGAAATGTAAAAAAGAAACTTTCATGTTGCTAGACAAAAATCCAGATACATACTCTGCCCCTAAAGAGATATTTTGATTGACAATCTTCAAGAGAAGGGAAAATCAACAATAACTCTTTTTTAATGAATTCAATGAGGAAATATCCACATCTACCAAAAGCAAACTTCTAGCAATCCTTATTAAAGCAATAAATACTAATTTGTATAATATTATGCAGAGCAAATGAAAACAACTTAATAAATTGCAATGAGACTGAGAAGAGGGGGATACAAGAAATAAGGGATGCATTTATACTGTGATGCGATAAGCCTTGCGAGAACCCGCAAGGGTGAGGCTCTGGACAGTATCCCCTATGCTGGAGGTGTCTTCAAGGCACCAGTCATTCCTCTTCATTACTGCCCAGCCGGACTCCAAGGTCTTGTCCCCCTGCTCACGCCACTCTCTCTCCTGATCCCACAGCAAACATTGTATCTTATACCCCCAACATGTAACAGAGCATTTTTATCAGAAGGAACTTGCCTGCGCACTAAATCCCATCTTCCCTTTTGAGGAATATCGCTGCTTCTTGTATGGCATCTCTCCTTCATCATCAGAACCTACATGAAAAATCCATGCATGCAAATAGGAATCTCCTTAGTACAAATATGAAATGTGAAGCTATCATTCTTATCAGCAATGGCATACAGGTGGCAGCTTTAATTATTGGCACCTTCATTGGAATTTTGGTATTATGTAATAATTTTCCATTTAAAAAAATATTCCATAAAAAATAACCAAATTGATTACCTCTCTTTCTGTGATCTATCATTATAAAAAAATGATTGCACTATGGCCAACAGACATGCATCTTTGAATTTCAAAGACATGAATGCAGGTATCTGACAGTAAGTGGATGGGGACATTTGGTTCTTTGAGTAACTGAATTGGAGCCGACCAGCGGGAGACTCCATGGGTGAGTAGAAGGTAGCAATGGACTCAGTGGGATAGGCATGAACATGACGAGACTGGCTAAACCGGAGGAGGGATGCATTCCCCTGTTGGATCAACGGCTCCCTTTCACCAGCCCCCAGACCAAGGGCTGAAAAAAATCCAATACCACATATGAATTTTGGACATTAAAAAATTTTTAAGAGGAAATCATTTTTAAAATCCATAAGGCTTTTTCAGAAAATAAAAGTCTAAAAATAGGAGCACAAACTGACACAACTGATACTTGAAATGAGTACAAACTTAAGAATTAGTCTATAACTTCTTAACTCCAACAACCTCTACCACTCCTTCACATCAAACACCAGATTTATAGAAATCCAGTCAGGCTATGATGTATATGATGGTGCTCAAAAGTCATATTTCGTTAAAAACGTTTTAAAATTCTAATATGGAAGTTCTCTGGAAGAAAAATGACATACATGAGAGGACTGCAGCAGCCCTTTGTTCAAGTGGCAAGACACGGAAGTCCAAGAACCAGGCCTGTCCCCATGGCAGAATGAAGCTCAGCAACAAGAAAATCACCTCAA